CACTGTTACTGTCTGCATCCCAACACACAAACACGCACACACACACTCACACACTCACATACTTTAAATAAACACATTCTTCTAGTTGTTGCGTTTGTAGACTTGAGTGTGCGCACACACACACACACACTGTGCAACTTACATTCCTGGGAGGGGATGTTTGACTGACAGCCCGGGGGCGTGGTCAGCATGACTAGGTAACATTGTGGTTTCTGTGCGTGTGAGGAAGGTTCGTTAACAGTCTGTCACTAATTGTCACAGATGCAAAAGCAGTTGTGTCCTGATTTTCCCACTGAGGGTGTTTTTGGGTGAAATGTTCAACACATTTCTGTCTAGTTCTAGAACTTAAGATGGATTTTAGTAGCTTAGAAAATTTAATCGACTTCCGCATAGACTATGATATATCTAGAAGAGATGGTATGAAACTGTAGTACTTGTGAGAGGACTTGGTAAGGACAAGACAAATGGCAAGGCTTAATACAAGATTCCTATTAGGGGAGTGCAGAACTGGGAGGATGACCATTAATGGACAATAGGACTTAGAAGGGACTAGAAGACTAGAGGATTTGGCAACTTAGAGGATATCTGTGGAAACTGAGGACACTGAAGATTATGCATTACGTTGGACTAGAGAAAAACAACTTTAAAGTGAATTCAACATTTTATGGAGAGAAGAGGCCTGAAAGGAACATCTGAAGAACTCAAAGACTAGAAGATGACTTAAAAAGGCTAAAAGACCCAGGGAAGAACTCAAAAATTGATCTGTGACTTTAGAGGTGTACTCATAGTAAATTAACAAGATTAAGACGACTAGAAGGGAGATATAAAAAAGGCATTACGTTACTTGGGTATTGGAGTGCTTGGAAACTGTGGAAATGACACAAAGGGTAAAAGACAACTTTGAAAGAGACTTTTGGGGGGACTAACGATAGAAAAGAGGCTGAATAGAGAACAAACAACTGAAAGAGTGGGAAAATGGTCCAGAACTAGCAATCACTGAGAACTGGGAAACTTGGAGAAGGCTTTATCATTGAATTTGACTTTTAAGACCACTAAGGATTAAAGACTCATTTTACCATAGGATAACATCAGATAGATTCAAGAACTTACAAGGATTTTGGATTCCTTGAATTGAAGGCCTGGGAGAATGATTTGTGGATGATTTGGAAAGAGATCTGAACCTGGAGGTTGGGGGTGAGGCTGATCTGCAGATGTCTAAGAGAACTTAAAGACTGAATTATGTGGACGTGAAGAGTAACTGAAAGTCTTAAAGAAGACAGATCATGGACTGCAGAACTTGAAAAATGATTTTTGAGGAGGCCTGTAGAGGATTGGAGGAGTGGGAGCCCTGAACTGTTTTGTAGAGACTGGGTGGCCTCACGCATACACACTGAGGGAAACACATTAGGAAGACAAATGGCTGCAGTCAGACAGATGTTTATCCAGCAGGCTATTTAAAGAGAAGCGATTGTGGAAAAAGATAAAGATGGTGGGATGACAGGAAATGAGAGATCAAGGCTGAGAAAAAGGAAAACATGGATAAGGAAGGGCATTAATGATTTGTTTCGCTATTTAAATCTTTTTATGCATTTCATTGATCATTCTGTTTAATTTTATGGGGCAGTACAGTGGCCCAGTGCTTGTCACTGTTGTTTCACATCAAGAACGTCCTCCATCCAAATCTAATGTCCAGGTACTCCGGCTTCTGTCCACAGTCCAAATGTAGTTAGTGGGTTAGGTTAATTTGGTCGTGGCCCATAGGTGTGAATGGTTGTCTTTCCATTCACACTCACAGACTGGCATCCTGTCCAGGGTATACTTTGTCTCCTGCCTGTGGTAGCTGGGATAGGATCCAGCCTCTTTGCAACACTTAATTGGATAAAGAGAGGAAGATTGATAAATGTTTAATTTAAAAACATTTTAAGTAAAATGCTAGATTAAAGCAAACTTAAGAATATATGATTTTGTTCATGTTTACATTTATTTGAAAGGGACAATGTTCATTAATTAATGTAAACATGCCAGTTTTACAGGTCAGCCTGATTGGAAATTATTGATGAAATTTAATGAATATTTAACTTAGTGAATTATTGGTACCATTTTCAATCATCAAGCATCTTTAAACCATTATAAAATTATGCACAAATGAAAAAATAACTCATTAATACTTTATCAAAACATGTTTTGAGTTTGTTCAAAAATACCAGAAAATATTAGCAAAATATTAGTGTCCAAAACTGATATTACATTTTTTTTTAACTAAAATGTCAGAATTAAACATCAGCAAATGTAAAATAAAAATAAATATAAAAAAAATAAAAAGACCATTAAAAAATGATTTTTTTGTAAAATTTGATGTAAAACGTGTAAAAATATTATTGAAATGCATGTAAAATCAATAAATCTCTAAGAAATATATTAATGGAATCATTGCAACACATCAAATGTCAGAATAAAGTATTAGGAAATACTAAAAAAAAACATGCAAATATTACAATATAATAGTTTAAAAAGTCTAAATGATTCCTACAAAATATGCATTAAAATGTATGAAAATACAGGTATGGTAAGGTATACAGGTAAATACAGGTAAATAAGGTATGAAACTGTCCAAAAGGTAAACTGGTAAACTGGGTGGTTCAAGATCAGCTATGTCTAAATTCAATAAGCTCCCTTCTCTAAATATTTACGCGCTGCATTTTCTCAGCAGTAGATGGAGTCGTGAACTTACAGGTTACACAACATTACTACTGAGTGATATAACTGTGTGATTTGTTATATCAGCCACAGCGATGCTGGCAGCTAACATTAAGTCCAGCTAAAGATGCCAGAAAATCATATTTATCTCCAGTCAGGAAGTCACTGCCTCTGAAAATTTTTATCTTGTTTTCTACATTTGTAGAATTTACACTTTTCCCATTCAAATGTCATTATTTAAAATTAAAAAAAAAACATAATAATATAATTTAAAAATTCAGCTAAGTGTAAAAATGCCTTACGAGTCAGAAGCAAATCACCCACTATAATCAGTTTGAGACTACAAGTAGTATCAGTGGTGGATATTAGTGATGCACGAATCATGAACGAATCGTTCAATACTCGAGAATCACTTTACTGACTCATGAATCATGATTCACAAGCCCAACTGACTCACTGACTCATCCCTGTTGCTGTTAGCAGCAATATATCTAGCTTATAATTAAAATTGTGGAGAAAAACACAACATCTAGTATCGTAACAAAAAAAAAAATCTGCTCTGAATTAGAAGAAAAAACCCTGAGTAGAAGCTCACATCAAGAAAATAGCTCCTCGGTTCACAGTAGCATCACTCTGCTAACATGCTAACAGCACATTTCAGCTACTCACCCCCTCCCTTCCTGTGCTGAATCGTATGGTAAGCGAATCACTCAGGACTCGCTCACCCCCTCCCTCCTGGCTCACAGCTTCTTCTTCTTCTTGGTTGGCAACTAATGTTAAGGCGCATTACCGCCCCCTGGCTCACAGCTCAGTGGACATTTAGATGAGAACATATATATCTGACACATTTAAGGAAAATACTAATAAAATAAAAATAAACAAAATAAATGTTTATTAAGCAATTTTGATAGGAAATTGCTTAATTTTAGAAATGTTTTTGCTCTATAAAATAGTTGTTTTCTTTTAGAATCACTCATCTTAGCAGTAGGATATACATGAAAAGAGAAACAAATTAAGTTTGAGAGAAATTAAGTCTTTTTTGCACATTTTTTGCACTCTCTGGTCAACTGACTCAGTGAATCAAATGACTCAAAAAACCCGATTCACTTTGGTGAGTGACTCATTAAAACTCGATTCAGTAAAAAGAATCAAATTTACCATCACTAGTGGATATTATTCAATTCAGTTCAATTCAGTTTTATTTATATAGTGCCAAATCACAACAGCAGTCACCTCAAGGCGACTACTTGGCAAAAGTCTTGAGCCATTGCTCCTTTCTTTATCTTTTGCTTCCAATGAACCAGGCACTCTTATAGTTTTTCAAAGTGATCTTCAGCAGTCGTTCTCCACGCTTTCTAAAGATCTTTTAAAATATTTCTTTGGACATTAGCAGATTTTTCACTTGTTTTCAGTCCAGTCCTTGTACCTGACCACTTGTCGAGATAGTTTACTTACTAAATACTAATTTATTTATTTTTATTTAAATACTTAAAATTTCCTTTAAAAAGATTCAAATGGACTGTGGGAGGAAGCCGGAGTACCCGGGGAAAACCCACGCAAACACGGGAGAACATGCAAACTCCACACAGAAAGACCCTGGCCTGATGGACATGCACTTTGTGGGGATAGGTTAATTGAAAAATCTAAATTGTCCATAGGTGTGAATGCGGGAGTGAATGTGAGTGCGAATGGTTGTCTGTCTCTGTGTGTTAGCCCTGCGACAGACTGGCGACCTGTCCAGGGCGTACCCCGCCTCTCGTCCTATGACAGCTGGGATAGGCTCCAGCGCCCCCGTGACCCTGAAAAGGATAAGCGGAAGCGAATGGATGGATGGATGCTTTATATATCAATGGACACTTTTATTACATTTTTATTGTTTATTATTGATAAAAAATAACATATATTTTTAATATCTTCAGTATATTTTATATATAGACTTTTTTTTAGATATTGTAATAATATATACAATCAATCAATTCAATGTGCAACTATCAGAGGTAAAACTCATTATCTGGATGCAGTATTTTTACTGTTAGATATCAATATACCTGAGAAACAAAAAACATCTGAGTACCAAATTAAAAGCCTCCACATTAACCGCGCACCTGAGAGTCTGAAATCAGGGGAAAAGCCGCCCGGTCGAGCTACCTTGCAGTCACGCGAGAGCGCGCCTAGTTGATAGAGAGCACCATCCTTCACACAGCAAACCGACACAGTTCCAACTGCCCTCACCTAACCACGTGCCTCCACTTAGAGCTTCTCCTTTACGTAGTTTTTGCGCGCGCAGTTTCCGGCTGTGAGAAGCGTCAGGTGAAGCGGAAGTGAAGAGGCTTGTACTGCTTACCTGTCGTCAGTCAAACTGACAGAGAAGAAACAAGAAAAAAAGTAAGTTAAAGATTAAAAAAAAAAAAAAAAAGTAATTTAAGTACACAAGGAGTTGTTTTATGTGTGTGTGTGCTGTTTTCGATCTGTTCTACCTGTCTGCTTTACCTGTACACCTACAGGGTTAGGTTTAGTAAAAGAAGACCAGTTTTACCAGGAAACGTTCTTACAGTTTAATGTTTACGGCAGTTTTAGTTTTTCTCTCTTTTTTACGGGCAGAGGGAGATGCGGGTTAGGGGAGTAAATATTTGTTTATTAAAATATGTGTACACAAAAAAACATACCTTACAAGACATCTGACAGTTTGTTTGGGGTTTTTTAAAGATGTTTTTCAGACATATATATATATATATATATTTTTTTTTTTTTATATTTATTTATAATCTTTTGATGCATGCATTAAGTTATTCAATTTTTATATATAATTTTTATAATTTTTTAATTTAATATTTTTTATTTTTATTTTTTTTTTAACTTACATGCTGCCTATTTTGGCCTTGGCCATAGGGTTAGGTTGGGTTGGGTATGTTGCTTATGTTGTAGAGAATCTGTGACATCTCATTAGTGTTAACAGGCTATTGTTAGCTGTTAATCAGCTGTGAGTGACTGCTTCTCTGTGCTGCTGGGTTTGTTATGTGACGAGTGAAATTAATAAGATTAATTATACTAGTTTATTGCCATTGGACCTCGTCATATGTGACCAGAATCTTATGAAAAATAATCAGAACTTCCTTGTGGAGGTAACAGAAGCAAGAAACCTGCACTAATTCCCAGCAAAAGCTCCTCATTTACATCTAAAACCTCTTTAAAGACAACACAGCTCCTAAATAACTAAAACCTAAAGGACCTCTGCCAAAAATCTGACTGTTCTTATTAATGACTAACTAACCAAGACAAGTTAATCCTGTTTGATGACTATAGCATGGATCAAAACCATAAACCACTAGAAACTACTAAGAAGAACTCCATCATCAAGAACAGCCAGAGAACTGACCAAACCAAGAAACATTCCCAGCTTGACCATCATAATTGTGTTTTACTATCCTACATCAAAGCATCGTGTTCACATTAAGCTATTTACCTTGTTGTTGTGAGCAGTTGTGATGTCATACTCCTTGTATACCTATGCCCACTTGTGGTAACTGTAGCCTCTCTCATTGTATTAATCAAGCTAATCCACATACCTATCTCACTAGATAGGTTTGTGGATAGATGTTGCAATGACCATTATAAATAACACCAAAACTAAACTTAATTACAAAGCTGTTGTTTTGCTATTTTTTTGTCAAGTATATCAAAAGTATATCAAAAGTATATCAAAACTAATGCAGAACCTATTAAAAAATGATAAATTTATATATAACATGATCTAGTTCATGACACACATGGTGGAATTTAAGCTTCCTGTAAGCCATATACTAATCCAAGGTCTCAGAATTTTATGTTGGACTTCAGCTACATTTTCAAAATGCCAAATTCCTGAGGTCATAGTAGTAAATATTTGGATTAAAAATTTGAATGACATAGGTTAAATAGTTCTCTTGATATAGCTATTTAAAAATAGCTCAATTGAAAGGCTTGAAAAGACTTGAAATTACCCCTTCAACCTTTTTTATGAGCAAATCACAGGGAAATCACAGATCATCAGTTGACATGCAGCGACTTTGGAAACCTCCCTAGTGACCTATTTAGACATCTCTTTAACAAACTGTACCATCTTAAAGTCCAAAGGAACATTGTTGCAGGCATAAGGAACACCCATAGACAACCAAAAAAACCAATTAAAATCCTGTATAACCGCTCCAAAGATGAGTCAAACTTCTATGTAGATGATCACAGTCTAATTACCAGAACTTATGACCAACAACTAGAACATAAAGTAATGTTTCAACCTCCTTAGACACTAATTAAACTTGCATGATTGACTAGAATTGTCTAAAAAGAGCAATAGAACTTCCATACACAGGTAGATTCTGTCTGAAAGATGGCTATAACTAACTCCACCTCAGTGCTAGCCCTATGGAGTCTCACTGAAGCCACTGGATTCACGTTCAGAATGGAGGATTGGGTGGTTTCTCGGAGTCAGTGTTTTCTCCATCAGTGCTGCAGGCTGTGATGGAGTCTAGGCGATGCTGCAGGAGCACTTGGCCATGTTGGCGTGTTGTTGGTCAGCGGCATGTTTGGATGTGCTGTTCAGGCTGTGTCATGTGTCAGGAATTTGCTGCTGCAGCAGGAGTGCATTTTGGCATGTCGGCAGACTGGTCACAGCTCTCTGACTCTCACTGCAGAGATTTCCTGGAAAGTCTTATGACATGTGACCTGAAGAAGAGTCATCTAATCTTTAAAAATCAAATACAGAGAAAATGGGAAGAAAATTAATCTCTTACTGTTTTCAAAAGCAGAAATACAAATTCATTTTCTGGTATTAACTTAAAAAAATTTTTTTTAAATGTGAACACTGAGCTGCTGTTTTCAAATAAGAGTTCAAAGAACTTGGTTAAAAGAATCCCCATGACTTGGTAGAGAATAAAACACAATCATAATGATATATATGTGTGAATGATTAATTTAATTCTTTCTGGAAAAGAATGAAAAGGTCCTGCACCTCCAGACTTATGTGTCATATGTGTTATCATCTACGGGCATCCATCAATTAATATTATGATAAATCATTAGGTGTGTCTGTGTGTGTGTGTGTGTGTGTGCGTCCCATTGTTTTTATTTAAATCTCTTTATATTTCAGATATGTTCTCTTTTTTTGTCTGTGAACAAATTTAGTAGTTTAAAATTTATATATTTAAATAATAGACTTAATTTTGATATTGTGAAAATCACATTTTATAAATCTTACACACAAATGTAAAAATTAATGAGGGTTTAACTAGCACAAATATTTATGTTCTAAAAAACTTTTCAAATTTTGCTTTTACTGCTGCAGTTACAGAAGTTTTGTCTGTTTTCTATTTTAAGGTAAATAAATCCAAATATAGAAAGTAGGGGCAAGCTGCGTAAAAAGGGAATTCCTTTTATGTCACAGAAAAGCTCATATCTGTCCTTATTTCTTCTTGTTCTGGACTGAATGTTCCTCTTCAGCTCGTTTCAGCCGTGAGCAAAAGGATTGTTTTTTTTCTAATAAGTAAACATGTCCCTTAAAATAACGTGCCAGTTATCAGCATAAATGAGCTTTTGAGCCTCACAGTAAAAGCGTAATGGGAAGTTTGTTTGCTGCAGATGGAGATAAGATAAGATCAATTAAAGTGAACAGTGAGCTCATTGATGAATGTTACTCTTCAGTTTGTTGCCAGGATGATAACTTTTCAAGCTGTTGAGGAGGGTAGGGTGGAAGGGGGCAGCTTTGAATGAGCTGCTGATGCCTTTAGTGAGCCATGTAATTTGGGTGTTTGCAGTGAGTAACCCAATCCCATCCAACCTGAAGTCTGAGGCCAAGAAAGCTGCCAAGATCCTGAGAGACTTCACCGAGATCTCCAGCAGAAATGGACCAGACAAACTCATCCCCGGTAACAACCTGTCATATTGTCAGCTTTATATACTGAGGACTAGTCCAGTGCTCTTTAAATACTTGGGTTTTCTAATATATTTTAAAATGTGAAGTATTTTACTGTAGTGTAGCTAAAAGTGTGTACTCTACCATATTTTTGTTGTAGCTCACGTAATAGCTAAGGCTGAGGGCCTGGCCATCATCTCCGTCATCAAGGCAGGCTTCATGATCACAGCCAGAGGAGGCAGCGGAGTAGTAATCGCCAGGCTTCCTGACAGACGTAAGATCGCCACTTCTTCCATGCTCTGTAAAGGTTTGGAATTTTGCACAGGCATCTGTTGGTGTGTTTCAAAAAATATAAACTTTAATTAAGAAGGCTGCTCAGGTAAGTCACCAGATGCCAAAATATGTGGAGACTTATGTTGTCTTTCTTTTTTATATCTGTCAGATAGAACAAAGCCGTGCTCGATCAATCCACTAATTGTTTTGCTCCTTCCAACCAGCACTTCAGCCTCATCGACAAATAAAATGATTCACTCACAAGCATCAAACTCCAGTCCTGAGAAATTAAGCTATTCCAGAAAAAAAAATTCAATGCTATTGAGGCATCAGCAGTACTAGCATGGTGTTCCGCAAAGCACGATTCTGAGTCCTCTATTGTTTGTTTTTACTTGTGGATATAACAGTTTGTTTTTCTACACAAAATAAATATGGTTTTGCAAGCTTGTATTTGTCTGAAGGATATAAGCACCAAAAGTCTGGAGAAATTGAAGACATTTTACAACAGAATTTAACATTTTTACAGCTTGCTTCAACAAGTAGATTTGGTTTTTATAGCTAATTCCCCCCTTTATACAATTTTAGTGGTGTGAATTATAAAATCACCAGTTTAAATTGTATAAAGGCTTAAAGTTTGCATTATTATGCCACAGTGGGTTCTTTGAAAGATTGATAGTGGCACAGTGGCTGTAGCTACTAGCTGTCTGCTAGGCTTCATGTTAGCTAATTGGAGTCCAATTGAACCCTGGTCTATGTTTGTACTGTTGGCACCTTTTTGGAGCATTTCGAATCCAAATATCTGAGGAAAATTACTTGCTGTGCAGTACTACGGGGACAATCCAAGAACTAAAACTGTAGTGGAATTCTTGGAATTTATATGCTCTTATCTCTTAGCATGTGTCTGTGTGATGTAACAGTTGTACAAAGCAACTGAACTTCGAAAAAAAAGATTGTAATCGATTGTAGATGGCATTTTGACAGTAGTATACTTTTGTTACCCTTCCAAGTAAAGTCTCTGTATGTTTGTGAGAAACATGTTGCTTCTGGAATTTATCTGCATGATTGATCTGAGTGACTGAATTATTATTCCTCTGCTATTTGATTGTCACAAAGTATAAGATGAGTACACATTTTTTTTATGTGTTCTAGAAAGTCTGTACTCTTTATTAGTAAGGTAAAAAGAGTTCAACAGCAGAGGTGTCATGTTTGAGGAGGAAATAATAGCTGGTTTTTAATCATGGATTTAGCCGCAGTCTACGAAGCAATTCTTGTGATTTGCTGCTGTTTGCCTGTTGTCCTGTTTTTTCTTCTTATTTGGTTCAGTTTTTGCTGTTTTTGATCTTCCTGAGTCTCTCAATAATCCTTTTGTTGTTTTGTTTTGTCTTGTGACATTTTGGGCTCCTGCGGTTAAAAACCAGGCCTCCCTGCAGTGTTGGGAGTGTGCTGTAGTCATCTGACACGTCAAGCGTTTGATGTCAGTGAACTGGTCCGGCGGTGGTGGATGTTTGAGTTTGTCGTGGTGCCAGAACCCACCGAGGGTCACACGGGTCTTACTGAGTGGTGCCACCACCCCTGCTCTTCTTCTTCAGGCTCTTTTGTTGGTTTTCTGGATTTTCACATTAAAGGAGCAGTTCACCACATCTGAAAACACTGGCGCCAGCAGTAGGCCAAGCCATTCTTTACAGTCCAGCTCTTGTCAGTGTGAATAATCCATCCTGGCTTCAGCCATAAATATTATCCATGCTTGAGCTTTATTCTGTGTGTTTTTGTGTCTGCAGGCTGGTCAGCACCTTCAGCTATTGGCATCGCTGGTCTGGGTGGAGGCTTCGAAATCGGGGTGGAGGTATAATCCCAAATCGTATAATTTTATTTATTTGATTTCTGATTTGCGTTCCAAGACGAAACATTTGTATTTGTGTTGAATTTAGGGGTTCATAATTGCCATAAATGTATCAATAGTGTTTTTAAAGGTTGTGAATGCAGCGGTTTGCATCACTGAGATGTCAATTTGTCCTTTAATGCACCACATCCCTTTTTGGAAAGCAGAAGTAAAGGCTAATTTTCTGGTCTCCCCTCAGGTGTCAGACTTGGTGATCATCCTGAATTATCGGAGGGCCGTCGAAGCCTTCACAAAGGGTGGGAACTTGACGCTTGGTGGGAACGCCACTGTCGCCGTGGGACCTGTTGGAAGGTGAGTCTACTCCCCACCCCTCCTAACACAATCTGTCTGTCTGTCTGTCTTTTAATTGCCTTGAATGCTTTCTGTTTATGTAAATTACAGCTTAGGTTTGATTGTCCTATTCTGCTTAGAGATTTATGAGACATTTAATGACAGTTTGTGTTTTGAGGCCTGAAGCAGATAGCCAAACTGTCTGAGGTGGGGAAAAAAATCACCCGTGATTTACTTTAGAGGCCAATTAAGATGTTGAGGTTAATTTTAGAATAAGGTGGTTTCAGGGTGGGTTAACCGGTTTTGGTGCTCATGTATTGGCAGGTGTTTGTGGGCGTGGCGAGTTACATGTCAGTCGGTTCATTCTCAATAAATGTTACAGACAGACAACAAATGGTAGCCAGAGCTGAATTTGTTTGAAGAAGATGGTCAGTTGTTACAATTAGTTTATGTTTGAGTGTATATGGTACTATGAAATTAGTCACATACACAGTGATTGAATAAACCGCAAACAGCTATAGATTTACAGACACAGCAGGAAATAAACCTAAAGAAGACTGCAGGTCCTTGGAGAAACCAAGGACTGTGATTTTTTTTTTTTTTTTTTAAATTCCCCTGGTGGTTCTTAAGTGTCTTCTTTAGCATTTTTTTCCATCAACTGTATATGAAACATTGAACTACTGTGTTGTCATCCATCAATTAAGTTAAGCATTTTGGCTATACTATGCTGTGGTTTTGTAGCCAAAAGTGGCCATCTTTGGATGAGAGATTGAAAAGCTAAGGTATCAAGTAGCGCTAGCTAACTGTACTAGCAAGCTACATTACAGAGGTACAAACTGCTAAATAGTCATAACAGCCAATAAAAAGCTACAACTTCACTCACAAAAACTGGAACACAGACTTATTGGTCATTGAAGCAAGTTTTGCAGTTTTTTATTTTGCTATTTGATTTTTTTTTT